TGCCCAGCTGAGAAAAGGGAATTCTTAAACATCATTGGTGGGAATTTAAGTTGGTACAGCCATTTTGGGAAACAATATGAGGGTTCCTCAAAATCTAAAAATAGTATTACCATATGATGCAGCAGTACCACTTCTGGGTATGTACCCTAGTAGAATGAAATTGATCTGTCAAAAGACATCTGCACTCACATTTTTATTTCAACCTTTCAAAATATATTAAGACTTACTTTGTGGCCTAACATATAATCTATCCTGAAGAATGTCTTGTGTTTGTTTGAGAAAAATGTGTATTACTTTGCTGTTGGATGAAATATTCCACATATGTCCATTAGGCCTATTTGGTCTAAACTGTAGTTTAAATCTGACATTTTCTTACTGATATTCTGTCTGGATCATCTGTCCATTGCTGAAAGTAGGGTATGTAAGTCCCTTACTATTATTGTAATACAGTCTATCTCCCCCTCAGGTCTACTAATATTTGCCTTATATATTTAAAAGCTGTGATATTGGGTGCATATATATTTACAATTGTTATTTTTTAAATGAGCTGACCTCTTCATCATGATATGATGACCTTCTTTGTATCATTTTACAGTTTTTGACTTCAAGTCTGTCTTCTGTGATAGGAGTATTGCTCTCTGTGCTCCCTCTTTTAGTTTCTAATTGCATGGAATATCTTTCCATGTCTTCACTGTCAGTCTGTATGTATCATTAAACCAGCTATGTGAATTTGTTGATTGGTTTTGAATATTGACTAACAGTGTCTCCTAAATATGATATACAAATGTAATTTTATAACAAAAGTATTTACAATTGTAAGGCCTTTTTGCTAGCAGAATTTACTCTGATAAAATTATTTACACTAGTGATGTTATATTACATATTCTGTTAGCACTCCAAAATACCCAGAGGTAGTTTATAACTAACATAATTGTTAATAAAAACCTATAGCATATATGCATATAAAATATTATTTCACTATTTCCTGCTTATTCTTCAGGTAATAAATTTAAAGCAAATTTGCTAACCTATAAATAATCTCTGCCTATGACTGGTATGTATAGTACAACTACACTTACATGGTTATAAGAATTATAGCTATTAATCAAATTGTTCAGTTGTATGTTATTTTAAATGTGTTTTGTATTCATGTATTCATTCCTGAACATTTACTGATTGTCAGGGATTGACACTGAATGTTGTTGATTCATTTTTTTTTTTTTACTAGTGGAAAATGAAAATCACTGTGACTTCGTGAAGCTCCGAGATATGCTTCTTTGTACTAATATGGAAAATCTAAAAGAAAAAACCCACACTCAGCACTATGAGTGTTATAGGTACCAAACACTGCAGAAAATGGGCTTTACAGATGTGGGCCCAGACAACCAGCCAGTTAGGTGAGTAAAAATATTGCTAGCACAACCAAATGGATAATGTAGGAGTCCCCTACAAACACAAGGTACAATAATTTGGGTATAAGAATAATTATACTTCTCCCATCTTGAACCATCCTAAAGAAAACATCCTGAATGTTAGGTGTTTTTATCATCTTTTGATGAAGATATAGTTAGTAGGAACAATATAATGCGAGATCTCATTTTTATGTTGAAATATGTGTATTCAGTATGTGTATATGCTGAAATGTGTATTGAAGAAAAAACCCAGTATTTTGTTGTATTTTTTGTATTTATATGAAATGTATCTATATTATATGAAAGAAAGGATAGGCCAGGCGTGGTGG